CAGTGGAGCCCAATAATACACTAAATTACAGTTTGTAACTTACCTTATTGGGCGCAAAAATCAAATTAGCCCCAAAATAATAAAAATCAAAAATAGAAATGGAAATATAATAGCTTGTCACTCAGGTCTATTTGAAACAAAATTCATTAATGACTTACTTTGAGGCGTCGGCTAGACCTGATAGGGTTCACCGAAACCTTAGTCTATCCAGCGTCGGATGTCCAGGGTTNAAAATAATAAAAATCAAAAATAGAAATGGAAATATAATAGCTTGTCACTCAGGTCTATTTGAAACAAAATTCATTAATGACTTACTTTGAGGCGTCGGCTAGACCTGATAGGGTTCACCGAAACCTTAGTCTATCCAGCGTCGGATGTCCAGGGTCCTCATCCTCTCCGTGCTGGATGAGGGTTTGTGGATGCCATCAGACTAGGAGAACCATTGACCATACAATACCATTCCGTTCCATAACACACACTCACACACTTCACTTCACTACCGATCGCGAACGCCACCAACCTTTCGCGAAAATAATAGCATTGAAAGACACTTTAAAACGATTCGAACAGATAACAGACTTCGTTAGAGCTAAAACAAAAGCAAAAGACTTTTGTCAGTTCCTGTGAATGTAGGAAACGGCTTGTGGTAAAGTAACTACCTAACTTGAATGATTTCTAAGTTAAGTCTTCATCTTCCTTGACACCTTTAGATTCTGTGATTCAGAAAAAGGAGACTGATGATACTTTTCCTTCAGTTCCATCTGTACGTTGGTTGAGAACCTCCAAACACATCGACTGTTTTGCTATCCTAAACGCATCGTATCGTAAACATTTAAAGTATATGCTGAAACATGAACTCATAATCAGTAAAGACCCAAAGGAACCAATTTAATTTTACCTTCGTTAGTTATTGTATAAGTTCTGAATCTTCAAAATGATATTGTCCTCCTTGAAAACTAACGAAAAACAACTAGTAATTGATTGAGATTCTTCTAGAAGAAGCCTAATCTTTTCCAACTTCTTAATTGTTGTTCAAATTCTCAACAACACATTGATAGTTTTATACTCTGAAAATTAAAATAAAGAAAACGCAGTTCAAAGGAAAAATTCTAAGCATTAAACGGCAATCTAAAAAAATCAGAGCGGAATCAGTCTACATTCTAACTAAGGTTTGCCCAGCCAATAGTAATATGTCGAAACAACAATTTCGTGCCCAACGGATGAGCAAGGTCATCTTTGCTTATTGACTGTCATCATATACTCTGCGTATTACAAGGCAGATATCACTAAACTATTTGATCGAACCCGTCACCTACAAAAGACAAACTCCATGATCTCACACCTAATATTATTCGAAAATTCAACCAATATTAATAAAAACATCCACTATTACTTTGTATTATGCAAAAGAGAAACCCAACCACCTCGGATACACGTAGAACCAAAAATTCATTGAAAACAACGTGCCGCTACGACCAATTGTGAGTGTTATGGGTTCTGTCTCCTACCATATGTCTAAATTTCTAAGTTCGCTGTTCCAAACCCTCCACGCTGAGAATACCACCATACATCAAAAATTTCACTAGTTTCGTTGAGTAATTCAAGGGTTTGCACTTACATCAAGGGGACTTGCTAGCTAGTTTCGATGTTGTTTCCCTCTTTACCAAAGTTCCTCTACAAGAAACCTTACCATACATCAACATTGTATTCACTCCAAACATCACAAATTCTTTTCAACACTGAACCAATCACCCCGAGAGGGAAGGGTATTATGAACAACGAGAGGGAATTTCCTAAACCTACCCACACAAACCGATATTCACAAGGACTCTAAACACCACCCTCGACAAAAGGTAAGCATCATTCGTACACTTATAACAACAGTAGAAATTTATTTGCGCGCCCCAACATCTCTAGTTCAAACTTGAGTACCTTCATATCGGCTTTCGTGCCAATGGACACACTGGCCAAGAAATCCAGACAGCCTTGCGACCAGGAACCCGTCATTTAACCAAATAAAACCAACGATCTTTGCCTTAAAGGTGCATCGGATGGGATTTGTCGAATATTGATGAGGAAGAACATAAGAACCATCTTCATTCCGATAAAGAAAATCCAATAACAGTTGAGTTCCGCACAAAAACCCAGAGAGCCTCTCATAGGGTCGATATGTTCCCGTCAAGTTGTAAAAACTCTACATAGGTACCATCAAACGTAGCATAAACACATACATAAAATGGCAAGGAAGACTACGACAACCCAATAAATTCACGGTGGCAGAACATGCCATGCAAGAAGAACACGCTGTCCATATTAAAAGCACCGACATCTTCGTAAACTCGCGGAGTTACCATTGAAGGCTAAATCGAGAAGCTAACCAAACACTCCAACAGCTTTAGCAAAAGAAAAGAGATCATAAGAGTGAATAAAATCTGGTTGCCAGTTTTGAGAAATGCTGCGATTAAGTACCAAATACCGCATAAAGACGTGACTGTTCCGCCTATTAATTTGGTCACCATATCAGGTGTCAGCTCTTTACAGTGATACAGTTATAGTACAGTGATATAGTGACACGGTCAAGAGGAAACGTGAATGAAGATTATTTAAAAACATCACTAACAAAGAAAAATCTGAACTCTCAGCTAAAATCTATGAAACTCAATCCAATTTAATCCTATCAGATAGACTACAAACAAGAAATTATGAACAAACAATTAACAACAGATACAAACAAAAACTAGAGACAAAAGCTGACAAGACACAATTGTACGTTGGAAAGATACAAAAACTAAAGAAGAAAAATGTCCGAGGGCCTCATGGCATCAAAATATAGCGGTCAAAACCCTCTCCCGTCCCACCATTAGAATAAAGGAACTCTCCATTATAATATTTTAATGATACGCAAAGCAAATGGACTAACTGAATTCCTAACTGTCTACTAAAAATCGCGAGCGCAGTATACCTGAACACTAACACTAAACACTTGTTCCCCCTACACTGTTATATACTCTAGCTGAAAAAAATATCAAATATACACAACATCAAATATACAACACCATTAGCCCCAAAATAATAAAAATTAAAAATAGAAATGGAAATATATAAGCTTCTTACTTAGACTTATTTGAAACAAGATTAATTAATGACTTACTTTGAAGCGTCGGCTAGACCCGAGAGGGTTCACCAAAACCTTAATCTATCCAACGACGGATTTCCACGGTCCTCATCCTCTTCATTCTGGATGAGAGGAATGCTATACCAGACTGAATTGAGGAACGGGAACATCCAGAAGTATCTTGTCAGTAGAGTAACAATTTATTGTTTATAGTCTATTCTGTTTTCGATCTTTTATTATTGGGTCGGACAGTATGCTTCTGGTTTCATCATGAGAAATGGTTAATGTTATTTATCTTGCTTATGAGAAAGTTATACGGTTTAGGTCCAAAACAAAGAGGAAAATTAGAAACAACTCCTTAGGTGTTATTTTTAGTTTTAATTTTAATTATAACATACAGGTAGTCGTTTCTTACAATGATTAAATCTTATTCTAAAATTTTAATTTGGGCCGTTTTCGTTTAATCGTAACCATTTTTAATATTTTCAGAAATAACGAATAGAGGTGACATCTAGAGTTCGAAAGAAATATTAGCTACAGGCAAGTTATTAATAGAATTGTATTAACTCACGGTGACTGAAATTGCAACTACTTCCATTTAAATTTTGAAAATTTGCACAATGCGTTATTGGGTATGCTTTCTTCAATTAAAATAACAGCATCTAAGTAGTACTTCCGGTTATACATGCATATCAATTTCGCTATATTAAAGAGAACACCCCGTATATTATGATGGTTTTAAATCCTACTTATGATTTTACAAGACATTGAGAAAAAGTTTGTATTACCGAATATGTGCAATTTTGTTGTATTTGTATCGAATTATGACGAAAATGTGTAGCTATCAAAATTTTTACTTTTCGGTTTAATATCAATACATATATGAAAAAAATCATTGCAGTAGTGTCGTATTGTAAAAAAACAACGAATTTAGATTGCTATCAATACTATTTTCACTGTTCTTCATCATTTTAAAATTTATCACGCCATGGGTTACATTATTGAAAGT